AGGAGGCCGAAGAGGCGGAGGAGGCGCCGCCGCTCGGGGGAGACCCGAGCACCCGACCGGAAGTGCCGCCCCCTCCCCCTCCTCGACAGCCCCGCGCCGCTCGCCTGCCCGCCCGCCCGCCCGGAAGCGGAAGTCGCGTGCGTCTCCCCCGGGGGCGCCGGCGTGGAGGAGCGGGAAGTGCAGACGGTGGCGGCGGCGATGTGGAGGGGGGAGTGAGAGCGAAATGCGCCTGCGCAGTGACTCGGGGACGCGGGCAAGGGAATGCCTAGACCGCTTCCGGTGGGCGAGCTAGGCGAGATGCGCTTGCGCTGTGTGCGCCGTCCCTTAGGGCACCGCCCACACGCTCCGCACGCTCGGTTAAGCCACACCCCTTTCTCTTACGTAGCCTTCTTAAGCCACGCCTTAGGGCCCAGACCACGCCCACCTCCGAGTTTAACTGCTTTAAGTCGGCTATCCTCCTCGCCCATTAAATTCCTCTGTTCTTTTCTCCCTCAAACTCAAGCTCTTCCTCTCTAGGGCCCCACCTTTTCGTCTTTAGTCATGCCTATACCCACGGCTGAATTTATTAAATCCCGCCTCTCTCCGCACGCGGAGCCACGCCCCCTGTGTTTAAGCCACACCCCTCCGCCTAGCTCCACCCCTTTCCCCACAACTGTCAAAGTCAGTCCTGTCTCTCATTGGGATGTTAGACGCCCTGGATTCGGTACCTATTACTAGTGACCCTGCATAGGACAGAAATTGCCCAGTCTGCCCCATCCTCACAATCGGGTGCAATTGAGCCCAGTGCTCCAGCCGCTGTCTCATGCCATCATTTTAAGAGATGACCTTCTTTTAAAAGATAACCCTCTTTTTCAATGACCTTTTTTTTTTTTACTCGTTCTGGTGGCCCTCAATGAGATGTACTGAACTGACACAGTGGCTGCAGCAATGGGCTCGAGTGTGTCAGAGATGATGAGGATGGCACAGGATAGGACAGAGGTTCAACGACCTCTTGTTCATAGGGCCGTTTTGAGTCGTACTTCACTCGATGGCACCTAACAACAACGGTGGGTTCTTTTTGCTCTGATGCTGTAGTCTATAGAAATTGGCGAGATGGGTAATGTATAGGATTGCTGAAACATCAGCCGTTCAAATCCACCAGCATTCAGAGGAAGAAGAAATACAGACAATCACCTCCTGTTAAGATTTCCAGCTTTGGAAACTCGATGGAGAGCCGCTATGAGTTGAAACTAGTAACTGTAATGACTCAATGCCCCCCCCCCCCAGTGTTTTCCTCAGTCTTTTATATTTGTTGTTCAGCTTTTACATGTATAAGTTGATGGGGTTGTTAAGTGCCGTCAAGTCACCTGCGATTCATAGCGACCCTATGTACAACATCTTTGAACCCTACACTGTCCTAAGCCGATCTCATTGTTTCTGAAACACCTGCCCTCATCACTCAAGTCGCTGTATCAATACATCTCATTGGGGTCTTTCTCTCCTGTGCCGTTCCTCCACCCTTCCAAGCATGATGTCCTTCTCCAAGGACCAGTCCCTCCTGGCAACACACCCACTGTATGTGAAACGGAGCTTCAGAATCTTTGCCTCCAAGGAGAAACTTGGATTTACCCTCTCCAATACGGACCTGGTTGTTCGCTTTGCAGTCCGTGTTGAGCACTCTTCTCTAGCACAATTCACAGGATTTGACCCTTCTATCATCCTTAGTCATTGTCCACATCTCTGATGCATATATAGATAACTGGAAAATTACCAGGCCTTCTTTACATACACCTTAGTCCTCAAAGTGAAATCTTTGCTCTTTATTATTTATTACTTTAAATAAGTCCTATGCCGCTTATGTGCCCAACTTAACACATCTGTTATCATTTTGACCCTGCTTCCTACCAGCTGTTCCTAGAGAAAAAGCTGGGCAGTTTCCGCCTGTGCAGTGAACAGTTTGGGAAATTCTCTGGAAGGTCATTTCCAAATTGACCAAAATGAGTTTGTGTCCCTAAATGCTGATTGTGGGTTCAAGTAAAATGAAAACTTTGACAATTTTCATCTTTTCCTTTTTATCTTGTTAATTATTGATACAGCTTTGAGAATTTTGTGGAGGTTTTATTTCAAAAAATTTATTACTCTCTGTGTGTGTGTGTGTGTACCATCAAATCGGATCTGACTGGTACAGGAGGAGATTGTCCCTCCTTCTCCAGGGGAGTATCTGGTGGATTCGAACCGGGCACCTCTGGGATTGCAGTGCAGCTTCTTGCCACTAGGCCACCAGAGCTCGCCTGAGTTGATATTTTTGAATGAAGGTTTGCAAATCATATTGTAAAGCCCATGACTGACACGGTACCTGCAGGGATGGACTTGAACAGGGTAGAGGCTGTGAGGATGATGTACCGTATGGCAAGGTTTCAATTCCTTGTGCTTAGGGTCATTTGGAGGCCGGGCCAGCTGGATGACAACTAACATCGGCTTAGTGGATCTAACGTGAAACCCGAAAACCCCTCCAAACTAGTTGCTGGGTGGTCTCTTATTGTCTCCTCGTCCTTTAGGAGACCTGTGGGACACCAGAGCAGCTGCTGGATGTGAACATAACATCGTTTGATAAACACCACCAGTACTTAACCCTTGCACCACCTGGGCTTCTTAAATCCCAGTGCTGTGGGGATAAATTCCAATGCATCGCAACTCGACAGGACAGAGCAGAACTCCCCAATCTTTGCAGTCTCTCACGTTCTCCACTGTTTCCGAGTTTCCAAGCCTGAAGCTTTTACAAAGGTACCCAGGAACAGCTAAGCGCTTTAAGAATTGCATCACTACAAAGCTGAATGACTGAAAAAAAAAAGAATTGCATCACTAAGACTCCGCATGGGCTTCTCAGCACAGTTCGGCTCACTGTCATCGAGCTGGAGCCAGCTCGTAACTGATCTTTACAGCAGGTTTTCAGAGACTGTGAATCACAGGAGAGAAGACTGCCCATCTTCTTCCTGTGGAGCTCCTGGTGGATATGAGCCGCCTACCAAGATGCAGCCGAAACAGGCCTTGGCCTCTGCAATTACTTGCTATGCATCGGAGAGCTGGACAGTGACTAGGGATGACAGAAAGAGCATTGATGCCTTTGAGCTGTGGTGCTGGTTAGAGTATTGAACAGGTTCATCCTGGAGAGGGTGAAGCCAGGCTGCTCCTTGGAGGCAAGGATTCTGAAGCTTCCTCTGACATACTTTGGGCATGTTGCAAGGAGGGACCAGTCCTTGGAGAGGGATGTCATGCTTGGGAGGGTGGAGGGACAGCGCAGGAGAGGAAGACCCACAATGAGATGCATTGATTCAGTGACTGGGGTAATTGTGGTGGGTGTGTCAGAGGCAATAAGGTTGGCACAGGATAGATCAGGGTTTAGGGCTGTTGTACACAGGGTCGCTATGAGTTGTAGGTGACTCAATGGCACATAACAACCACCACCACCACCACCACCACCACCTTTGGGTTGCCAGCAAAGCTCCTTACCCACTAGGCCACCAGAGCTCTCCTGTGGGTTCCCTGTTGTTGTTAGGTGCCGTTGTGTCAACACATCTGAAACCTGCCCTGCCCTGTGCCACCCTCGCTTTCTCTTTCATGCTCAAGCCCACCTGAGCACCTCTTGTTGTGGTTTGTTGCTGGTGGGTCGGAATCAGCTGACCTCCCGCAGGTTTTCAGAGGCTGTCATTTTGCACGGGAGGAGACTGCCTACCCTTCTCTCACAGAGATGCTGGTGGGTTTGAACTGTGCGCCTTGGAATGGAGAATTCTTTATCACTGTGGGTCCTCCTGTGTATTTGTCTAGGTGGCCTCAAGTCCAATATGACTAAATGACACTATGAGTGACAGATCTGAACGCTGCAGTATCCCGTGCCGTCCTCATCATGTCTGACACACTTGCGCCTCTTGCCACAGTCAGCGGGCCAATTCATCTGATTGAGGGTCTTCCTCCCTTTCTCAGGCCCTCCAGCTTCCCAAGCATCCTGCACCGTCCAAGGAATAGCCTCTTATCAACACGCCCCAAGTATGTGAGATGAAGCTTCACCATCTTTGCCTCCAAGGAGCACTCTGGCCGCACTTTCTCCAAAACCTTGGTTCTTTTTCCTCCTTCTAAATCATTGTTTATTTCCTCTAACACTGGTTCATGAAGACCCACCCTTGTTCTTACTGCCTTCTCCTAAGCCTCACCCACAGCACAGCTTTCTGCCCAATAAACTCTGCTCTTCCTCACAAGCACCTCCCTCCCTGCCCCCCCTCTTTTTTTTTTAATTATTTTGTGTGCATGTACCGTCAAATCAGATCTGATACAGGAGGAGATTGTCCCTCCTTTTCCATCAGAGCATCTGGTGTATTTGAACTGTGACCCCTCTCTCTCTTGACTTTGGTATTGTTGCTGTGGGCAGTCCAGTCCAAACTTATCCATAGCTGACCCTCCCGCAAGTTTTTATAAGGAGGAGATTGTCCAACCTTCTCTTGTGGAGCAGCTAGTGGATTCGAACTGCCTGCCTTCAGGACTGCAGCACAGCTTCTTACCACTAGGCCACCAGAGTGCCCTTTTATCTCTTGACAAGCTCCCTCAAAGGCCATCTGCCTGACTTACTGCTTCACTCAAGCATCAAGGTCTGGTGGAGATGGGGACTGGGGGCTGCACTAGGGAGACACACATGTTGGATTTCTTGCAAACAACCCCACACAGTCAGTGTCTGCGTGGTGTCCATGCGAAGGGACGTTGGCAGGAAGGACTCAGGAGAGCCAGTGCCTTAAGCCAACGCAGAGAACACGCAGGAGGCCAGCAGGCAGAGATTTATTTGGGTGGCCCCTGCCTCCATAGGCCACTCAGGCTGGGAGAGCCAAGCTGAGGGCCACAGACCCCAAGAGTGTTGATTCCCATCCTCCCAGGCCTCCTCCAGCAGCAGGAAGACCACCAGGAATGAAGTCGTCCAGGCCCCCCTGCCCAGGCGCATCCCCGGCTCTGGGCGCAGCAGTGGCCAGGGCGGAGGGTCAGGCCGGCTCTTTCTCCTCTGATGCCTCCTCTGCCGCCTCGCCAGTGGCTGGAATGCCCTGGTCATCCCATGGTAGCTCTGGCTCCGGGTCAGGGTCTGGGTCCGGGTCTGGGGGACACAGGAATTCCTCCAGGGCGTCTGGGTGTTTGCGCTTGGCGTGGCGCCGCAGGGTGTTGGCCTCGGTGAAGCGCAGCCGGCAGATGGGGCACTGGTAGGGGCGCTCCCCAGAGTGGACGCGGTGGTGGTGGGCCAGCTCTCCTGCTTCGCGGAAGCGGCGCGGGCACAGCGGGCAGCGGAAGGGGCGGAGGCCGGCATGGATGTTACAGTGGCGACGCAGGTGACTGGAGCGCTTGAAAGCCTTCCCGCAGTCTTTGCACTCATGGGGCTTCAGTTCCGAGTGGGAGATTCTGTGGCGCTCCAGGTCGGAGAGGTAGGGGAAGGCCCGCAGACATACGGGGCAGAAGTGGGGGGCCTTCTTGGGGCTGCTGCCCTCCGGTGTGCCCGCTGTGGACCCTTCGGACACCGTGTAAGGCACGCCCTGGTCATCGATCAGCAGAAGCCCGCTGTCCTCTCCAGGGTCCACCGAGGAGGACACCCCCTGGGGCAGCAGGGGCTCTTGTCCTGATCCAGGGACTTGACTCCTTTTGCGAGGAAGGGAGGCCTTGCGCTTGGGCTTCGAGGAGGCAGCCACCCCAGAACAGTGGCCCCCGGGAAGAGGAGGGTCTAAGGCCAGAGATTTATTGTCCTCCTCTGGCAAAGATGAAGGCAACGGGTCTGGGCTGGGGATGTCCATGGAGCAGTGGGGGGCTACGGGGAGAAAGGGGGTAATGTCAGTGAAGAAAAGGCCAGGGCACCCCTGTGAATCCCAACGCCATACACACACACACACACACACACACAAGGCTCTTGTCTGTGTCCCTCCTGTACTTCCACATGCAGCTATGGTGTGGGGAGAAGGACGAGACAGTCAGCTTCTGGACAGATGGACGGCCCCAGAGACGCTGTACTCTCTCTTCCATGGCCAATAAGAGTTGTGGTCCACCGGGTGGCAGTGGATTATGTGTGGTGGCGAACAGCCGAACAGCCAGCATCTCCCACACACCAGCCGGGGGCAGGCGGCTTCTGTAAAGATCTCCAGCGCTGGGAACCCTGTGGGGAGTTCTCTGTCCTGCACAGTACCTGAGAGCTGGCACTGACTTGACGTCTGGGGAGAAGGGATCTTTGGAAGCAGAGATGTCGATGCTTCATGTCATATGCTTTGGACATGTTTTCCGGAGGGACCAATCCCTGCAGGAGACCGTGCTTGAGAAAGGTAGTTGTTCTTCTTGTTATGGACTGTCAAGTTGGAACCAACTCATAGCTGCCCCTCCAGCGGGTGCCCAGAGGCTGGAGAGAGTCCATCCTGTGGAGCAGCTGGTGGATTCAAACCATGTGCCTAGGATTTGGCAGAACAGCTCCTTGCCCACTAAGGCACTTAAGTGCCTCCTTGAGGAAGATAGAGGGTCAATGAAAAAGAGAATGACCCTCAGTGAGATGGACTGATGGGCGCAACGTAGGCCCTGCAGAGATGTGCGGATGGTGTAGGAGCAAGCAGTGTTTCATTCAGTTGTACACCTGGGACTTACAAGAGGGGGCTGAGTTGATGACCCTGATAACAACTACCATTATCATGGGTAGGTAAGCCTCTTGCCAAGCCTCTGTCGAGGGGACATCACCCCGTTTTGCAATGGGGGAAATAAGGCATTGGAAATCCAACACACAGGTGTCCACCAGCAATGGAGCATGGCCTAGCCTCCAGCCAAACCTTGCTGATTGCAGTGGCCCAAGGTGGCAGTGGACATCGCTGGGATTTGGATGCAAAGTGAGCTTTGCTGCCAGTTAGCAAGTTTGCATCTTGGTGCCAAAGTTTCCTCTTCGGCAAGCTCTGGTGGCCTGGTAGCAAGAAGCGGCACTGCAATCCCAGAGGTACGCAGTTCAAATCCACCAAATGTTTTGCTGGAGAAAGAGGGACAATCTCTTCCTATACCAGTCAGATCTAATTTGATGGTACACACACACACACACACACACACACACACACACACACACATAAATGGGAGGGGAAAGCAAAGCTTCCTTTTCAAAAATGTGTTTAAAAAAATCCCAAAACCACAAAAACCCCAAAACCAAAAATATGGTGTATGTGACAGGCTAGTTGGGAGAAGCCAATAAATTAAGAAGCATATGTGTCTGGCACTAGGTAGCATGTGGTCACTATCCCACCACGTCCACTATCATCCTTACCTGTAGGGATTACTCATGGGTCAGGGAGGTGTCTGGGTGATGGAGGTGCAAATTCAAAAGTGGGTGGGTGAATGCGGCTAATAAACAGGTGCAGCTTGGAGGAGGCGCTAACTGTACACCCCTTCTGGCATAAACTGAGGTTTATGTGGCACTGTTACCCCAGCCCCACCTGGTTCGCTTCAGTAGTAGAAAGCTGGACTAAAACCTGCGTCTCTGGAAGCGAGAGAAAGGAATGCCCTCCCTAGCCCCCTAATGACCCCTCTAGCCCCGTCTGGACGCGCACTCGATTGCCCCCCAATGTTGAGCCTTCTGAAAAGGGCAGTGGCCAATGAGCGGCGCTGGACCACAGCTTGGTGAGGCTGCCCGGAAAGGGGGTCTGCGCGCGCGCGCGCGCGTGCAGGACCCGCGGGCAGGGCTCCAAGTCAGCGCGCGCGCGCGCAGGGCGCAGGCACGAACAGGAACAGGTGCCCGGGGAGGCGCGCGCGCACAGAGTGCGCGCCTCCGGGTCATTGCGCGCCCCCGGGCAGCCTCTCCACGGTCTCCCCCTCCCCCGCTCCCGCCGCTCGGGTACCTCATTTACATGTCGCCCGGGATCGCGGGAACCTGCGCCCGCGCGCGTGCGCGCGTACCCGCGCGGGGACGCCAGGGCCGGAGCGTGGGAAGGGGCGGGGGTGCGGGGGGGCCCTGCCCCTCCGCGGCGGCGGCGACGCAGGGGGAAGGCCACGCCCCCTCCAGAGTGGACACACGCCGGCTCCGCCCTCCCCGCCCTGGTCGGTCCGCGCGCCCGCGGGGAACAAAGGGCACTCCCAGCGGCTGCCTGGAGGCCGGACGCGATGGGTCCTAAAGCCCGATTAGCCTTACGGGACACACTGCGCCTGCGCAGCGGTTTCCAGCCTTTGGTTGAAATAACCTCATTCCCCCTGCTACACCGTCTACGCACAGAAATGTCTGTCCTTCCACAAAAGATCCACTAAGGTGACCCAATGACAGAATTCAAGAGAAGCCGGGGGGGGGGGGGGAGGAAGGATGGCTGCCCATTGCCCGTAGTTAACATGGTGCCCGAAAGGCGTCAAAATCCAAGGATGGCTGAGCAAACGATGGAGGTTTTTCTGATCGCAGTTGTCGCAACTTTTTTACTTTCTTCTCTCGTCATTCGAGTCTCCAGACCCAGGAGTCTGAAGCTGGGAAAAGGGAATCACACCTGTCCTCATTTACGTGACAGGGGCCATGGAGGGGAAGAAGGCGGCGCGCCAGGCCTGTTGCCCTTAGTCAGCATGGCGCCGTGCGCGTCACCTCATCCCAGTCCTTTCCCTTTGCCCTCACCTAAGATGGAGTCAGTCTGACTTCTCTTAACCTTCTTCAGGAACGGGAACAGCCAGGAAAGGAGGGAGCGGGGCGGGGTGGGGAAGGGGAGCCAAGAGGGCGGGAGGAAAGGGGGGCCGTAGCGGAAGTCGAGGGGCCCCCCGGGTGGAAGTGACGCTACTCCCGCTGCCCAAAATGTCGGCGCCCAGAGGGAGGTGTAAGTAATTAAAGAGGAAAGCAGCCCGACTTTCTCGGCCTCCCGGGATCGCTCCAGGTCCCCAGAACCCCGACTCCCTCGGAGTGAGGTGGACTCGCCAAGGCCCCCGAGTCCCACCTGACCTGCCCCCGCCCCGAGCGGCGGGAGCGCGCACGTTTTCAGGAGCAGGGGGAGGGGCACAAAAGGCCAGCTTTCGGGGCCTGGGGCCTGGAGCGGACTTTGTGCGGAAGGCGGCACCGCAGGCTGCAGGGTGTGGGAGGAGGCGGGGCCAAAGAGACGGCTGGGGCGGAGCTAGGGCCGGGCGGAGCCAATCCGGGGGCGTGGCTTATCACGAAGCGGGCGGGGATTGGTGGCGGGAGTGAGGATCTGTCAAATTATGGGTGGAGCTTAGGGAAAGAGGTGGGATTTGTGGAGGGGCGGGGCTCTGTTTTGTGGGCGGGGCCTAGCTTGATGGCTAGAGGAAGACTCATTAAGGCTCCATAGGGAACTAGAACTCGGAGTTGGAGTGAGTAGAACTTAAGATACAAGAGGTAGGGTTTTTTGGTAGGGATGTGAATTTAAAAAAGTTGAATGGGTATGGAGAGGGGTGTAATATGGATCATGTTGAAGGGAAAGTAGGTCCTATGTGATATGATGTAAATTATTTGCCTATCACAACTTGCTGGAAACTGAGCCCTACCTGTAGATAATCTGTACCCAGTTCACTGCTAACCCAAAAGTCCCAGGACTCACACAGTTCGAATCCACTAGTGATTCCTCTAAGGAAACTGGACAGAGTCCTCCCATTATGATTTTCAGCCTCATAAACCCAATGAAAAGGTCAGTATGAGTCAGATACAACTTGAAGCAATCAGTTTGAGTTCAAGTATTGGCTGACAGGTTAGTTCCTCAGACGAAAGGCCTGGTTATGTGCCGCTTTTAAGATTAACTCCCTGCTGTGAGTCAGTTTCAAGTCATAGCGACCCTATTGAACAAAGTAGAGCTGCAATAGATCTGGAAATCTATACAAAAGTAGGAGCTGTTGTTCATAGCAACCCTATGAACAAAAGTCCTCAACAGTTACGTGACTTTCATCCTTTCTCCATGTACAGGATTAGAAGGCCATTTCCCCCCTCTCTCTCTTTTTTCCTTTTCATTTTCCCTCTCTTAAGTGACGTGGGGGTCAACTTTTTGGTTAGAAGCTTGATGCTTCACCAGCTGCATCATCAGGAAATCTCACTAAAGATTACAATCAACAAAAAGTCTTTAGAGGTATTTTGTAACAGAACAGCTGTTATAGGATCCACTCATTAGTAGGTGAAATTTTGATAGGACAGAATCTATTCCATGGCAACAGGGTTTATTGCAGAAAAGGAGGGACTTGTTGATGGGGAAGGGTGAGAAGAATGAGTATGTCTGAGAGCAGGGAGATTTGGAGAGAATGGGGCTTATTAGAGGGTAGAGTTTTGAAGACAAATATTAATTGAGAGGAGTTCCAAGAAGTCAGATAAATTTAGAACAGCATGGTAGGATTTACAAAGGAAAGCAGGAGGGACTTAAAGAATACTACTAACCCAAGCAGCTTGTTAATTGAGTCTTTGAAGTGGATTCAGTAAGCACCTAGTACACACACTTACCATGTTGCCTACCTTCACTCTTATTTTGAATACGAAGTGTTTATGTTTTTTCTAAAGTCACAGGACTAGTTCTGGTTGTGGATTGGTGCCTCAAGGGTGCCTGGCTTCACAGCTTGTTCTTTCCATTTAATATAGTCTACTTGAAGAGTGCGAGGGGCTTACTGAGGCTTGGTAGTTTTGGTTTGGAATAGTAATAGGGGTTTGGGAAGGGCCTGGATGGGCTTGTGAGTAGGAGGAGCTTGGCAGGAAGTAGGAGGAGTTTGGTAAGAAGTGGGAGGGGCTTGGCAGGAAAGTGGGAGGGGCTTGATAAATATTGATAAAGAACAGTGTTGCTGTTAGGTGTCCTCACACCAATTGTGACTCACAGCCACCCCACTACATATGTTAAAACCTAACAGTGTCCGGTCCTGCAACATCCTCCCATACATTGCTATTTGCACTCATTGTTGGAGCCACTGAGACAGTCCATATCCTTGAGGGACTTCTCTTTTGCTTGGCTTTATCAGGCATGATTTCTTTCTCCAGAAATCTGGTCTCTCCTGACAACATGTCTAAAGATTGTGAGACAAAGTCATCATCTTACTTTAAAGGAGCATTCTGACTGCACTCTTAACAAGACAGATTTGTTTGTGCTCCTGACAGTTCATGTTGCATTCAGTATTCTTCTCCTACACCATATTTTGAAGGAAGCAATTCTTCAGTCTTCCTTATTTCTTGCCCAAGCTTTCTCATGCATATGATGCAATTGAAAACACCATAGCTAGGATCAGGCACAAACTAGTCTTCAAAATTACATCTTTGCATTAGTAAAGCCTTAAAGTAGCCGCTTCTGGCAGATTTGTCCACTGTAGTGTATCACTTGGCTGCTGTATCCATGGACATGACTTGTGTGCATTCAAGTAGAATGAAATTCTTGACAGCTTCAATCTTTTCCCCTCCCCCGCTCTGCTTTTTATAACGCTGCTTATTGGTCCAGTGGTGAGGACTTTTGTTTTCTTTATATTGTAATATAATCCATAATACAGACTGTAGCTTTTTCTTTTCATCAGTAAGTGCTTCAAGTCCTCTTCACTTTCTGCAAATAAGATTGTGTCGTTTGTATATCTCACAGGTTGCTGCTAATGAATCTCTCTCTAATTTTGATAACACATTTTTCTCTATATTGTCCAATTCCTTAGTTTGCTCATTAAACATGTTGAATAGATATGGAGGAAGGAAGACCATAAGCTTGATGCCTGTTTTCCCTCCTTTTAAGCCATACAGCATTCCCTTGTCATGTTTGAATGACTGCTTCTTGGTCTGTGTACACATTCCACATGAGCACAATTGGAGGATCTGAAATTTCTGCTCTTGGTAGTGCTATCTATAACGTGTTATGATCCATAAAGCTAAATGTCTCTCCATAACCAATGAAGATTAGGTCTTTTCTTGTGTTTTCTGAGTTCAGCCAAGACCCACCTGCTCTCAGCAATGGAATCCCTCCAAACCTTCTGAATCCAGCTTGAATTTCTGGCAGTTTCTTTTTAAAAACGTTAAAAATTAATTTTAATGAAAGTTTATAGAGACTTAGGGTTTCCAGTCTTCCATTGTTGCACTTTTCTCCCTACCCACCCCCTAATTTCTGGCAGTTTCTTGTAGATGTATTGCTTCAGCCATTTTTTAAAGTAATCTTAAAACAAAATTTGACTTGTGTGTGATATTAATGATATTGTTCAGTAATTTCTACATGTTATTGGATATCTTTCTTTAGAGTGGGCACATATATGGATAGGTAGTTGGCCAGGTAGTAGCTGCCTTCCAAATTTCTTGGTGTGGACCAGTGATAGACCAATGACTACTTTCAATGTTGTATCCATTTGTTGAAAGATCTCAATTGATATTCCATCCATTCCTTGAGCCTTGCTCTTGAACAGTGCTGTTAGGGTAACTTAGACTTCAATGTCATTATTTTCCCCCCTTCAGTTCTTCCAGCTTGTGAAATGCTGAGTGTGTTCTTTGGAACTGTGTGGGCCTAGTGAGTCATGTTTTGGGCTGCTGACAGAAGGGTTGATGGTTTAAATCCACCAGGCTTTCCAAGGGAGGAGGAGGGACAGTCTGTAATGACTGACAGCCTTCGAATCCCAATGTTGTCAGTGCATGGTGACCCTGTGAATGACACATCAAAACCTTGCCCTTTCTAGCCCATCCTCATGACCTCTGCTATGCTCAATTGTGACAATTCTGAATTGATTCGACGGCAGTGGATAGGGTTGGGCTTAATGTTCTTTGACTTTGATTCTCTAAGCCTTAAATTTCATTATAATATGTTGTCTTCTTGAGCTGTCCTTTGAAATCTCCAGCTCTCTTACTTCCTCTGTTCACTTTAACTTCTTTACATTGAAGAGCACGTTTCAAAATCTCTTTGGACATCCGGTTGGCTCTCTCTCTTTTTACCTCCTGTATTTTTAAAAATTTTTTAAATTTTTTTAATTATTGTTTCTTTTTTTGTGTGTGTACCATCCAATCAGATTTGACTGGTACAGGCGGAGATTGTCCCTCTTTCTCCAGCAGAGCATCTGGTGGATTCGAACCGGGCACCTCTGGGATTGCAGTGCATCTTCTTGCCACTAGGCCACCAGAGCTCGCCTTTCTCCTCCATTTTAATGACCTTTTGCTTTCATTATGTGTGATGTCCTTGATGTCATCTCACCACTTGTCTGAAGGGGAAGGGACCTGAAAAGGCGCATAGAAGCTTAGGTAGAAAGTGTGGGTGGGGCATTGAGGGGGGATGTGGGTGGGGCCTAAGCGGGAGTGGGTGGGTCTTTGAAACACCCTGGCGTAGAGAAGGGCTTTGCAAGCAGTCAGAAAGATTGGCAGATAGAATGGGAAAGAATGAGAGGCTGCTGTTAAAAAGTGGGAGGGGCTTAAAATGAATGTGGGCGTGGCTTAAGATATTGTGGGAGGGGCTTAAAGAACTGTAGGGAGGGGCTTGGAGGGCCATGGTGGGAGGAGTTTAAAGGCCTGTGGGTGGGTTTAATGGACAGGAGGTGGGGCTTATAAGATAGACGGAGCTAAAGTGACAAGGGGCGTGGTTTGAGGTGGATCTGCCTGAAGGGCAGTGGGCAGGGACTCCGGAGACAGGTGATGACTTAAGGATGCTGGGATGGGTTGCTTGGCGTGCAAATGACCTTTCCTCTGACCCATCTCTCCTCCCACTGCAGAGAGAGCCCCCACTGGCCACTGTCCCCACACCACCATGGGCGACACCCCGCTGCCCGCACCCCCGGCGCCCACCCCGGCCCCCACGCCGGCCCCCGCCCCGGCCGCAGCCGCCCCCCGGGTCCCCTTCCACTGCAGCGAGTGCGGCAAGAGCTTCCGCTACCGCTCGGACCTGCGACGCCACTTTGCCCGCCACACGGCCCTCAAGCCCCACGCGTGTCCGCGCTGCGGCAAGGGCTTCAAGCACAGCTTCAACCTGGCCAACCACCTACGCTCGCACACCGGGGAGCGGCCCTACCGCTGCTCTGCCTGCCCCAAGGGCTTCCGGGACTCCACTGGCCTGCTGCACCATCAGGTGAGTCCCCGGGACGCTGGCCTGGGCCCTGGACACCGCGGGTCTGCGCGCCCCCACCCCAGCTCTTCCCCTCGAGGAGGGGGTCCACTCCAGGGCTTCCAGACCTCACTCTCCACAGAGACTCTGCATGTCTACTAAAGTTGCACAGAGCCAGAGTCTGCGTATAAAGTCCACCCACAGGTGGGTCACCTGTGGGCACACACAGCATTGCGCAGTGGGGAAAGCTGAGAGGCACATGCGCCTTTGACCCACTGGAAGCCGGAGCGGTCTGCTTCCGAAAGACATCAGCCTTGGAAACCCTGGAGGGCAGTTCTGGCTGCCCCATAGAGCTGCACGGGCTGTGGGTTTGGTGAGGGTCCTGGCTAGAATGACTCTCTGGGTTCCCATCTTTATCTGCCTTCTCAAAGGCATGCGTGGCTGCAGGGACATGAGACATAGTAAGGAAACGGGCTATTCCGGAACCAGAGAACAACCACAGTGGCCGGGGGCAGGAGATCTGGAGGGCACTGTATCAAGCAAGACTAGAGGAGAAGGCTGGAGGGTCCAGGGCTTCTACCACCTGACCCGTGCCCGGGAGCTCTGGTGGCGAGGTCAGTCCCTAGGGAGTTAAAGACCACACCTCACGGGGCTCTAATTGCCGTAGCTTTGAAAACACAGCGGAGGCCCCCTGCATGTGGGACTCCAGGCGCCTCTGAAAATGTGGAGGGTTTGCTCCCCGACTCCTGCCTGATTTCAAGCCGAGATCCCGTAAAACAGCCACACTGGGGTCTTTTATTATCAGGATTTCTGTCCCAGTGCAGATACAAGTGAAGTTGACAAGACATGGTGGTCTTTTTGAGCGTGGGCAAACAGGACGAGGAAACCTGAACTCCTTTGAAAATGACAAAAACAAAAAAAAAATGGAACATAGCGACGGGAGCACACAGTGTTGCTTGTCGTTTCTCTTAAAGAAGCAAAAACTGTCCCTTGAGCAAAGCTCCTCTCCAGTGGTGGAAGGAGAAAGGTGGACAGTATCCTTCCGGACAATTTGCAGCTCGGAAACCCTCCTAAAGGATCAGCCAGGAGTTGGTTCCTACTTCACAGCAATGAAAAAAAAAAACAGGCTGAGGAGGCGCTCTGGTGGCACAGTGATTTAAGCTTTAGACCGGTCACCAAAAGGTTGGCAATTCAGACACATCGTGGGAGGATTTGACAATCTGCTCTCGCGGCCTGGGAAGAGTCCTATAGGACTCCTGAGTTTTCCTCTGTCCACTGGGGTCTCTATGATGAGCTGGAATGGGCAGCAGGAAGAAGAGGTGTTAGCTGACTGGGGAGTCACTGTGTGGTGCCAAGGATTAAGGTGTTTGGCCGCTCTCCGGAAGGTTGGCAGTTCAGATACACTCAGAGGTGCCTCGGAAGAAATGCCTGGCGATCTGCATCCAGAAAAATTCAGCCATTGAAACCTGGCAAAGCATCATCACTCCACTCTGGCATCGTACAAGGTTGCCATGGCTCAGACATTTCTCCAGAGCTGCCCACTTGGTTTTGGTTTTCTCCCGCTGGGGAGGCAGATGGCACATGTGTGAGCTGTGACCCCAGTCAGTCTACCAGGACCCTGTTCTGGCAGCACGAGCTCATACTGCGTCTCTGCGGCCCATCCTCATCACCCTCGCAGCGTCTCAGACTTTGACATAACGCTGTTCCTCACACACGTCATGGAGTCGAGTCAACTATCAACATAACTTTCTCAGGCACTGCGCCTGCGCACGCCGACCGTCCGGCCCACGCTCACTCACTGCCGGGTCGTTAGGCCCACGTGGAGCCCCGAGTGGTTGTCAGACACGATGGGAGGAGATTGCCCGTCATTTTCCTTTGGAGCCGCTGGTGGATTTGAACCGCTGGAGAATCACACAGCTCTGAGTTCTTCTTAGGTGCTGTCGCGTTGATCCTGACTCACACCTCCCTACCCTCACGTGAGCAGCTAGAAGCGGACTGGTGAAGACATCTGGGCTCGTGAGAGGCGTGCGCCACAGCCTTCGTGCCTGACGGAATGCAACATTGTACACCGCTGTGCTGTCTTCACAGTCGAAGGTTCGAGCCCATGGTGCAGCCGCTGTGTGGCTTGTGGAGGGGTCATTCCCCCCTCCTTTTCAGTGATCATCTATTTTATCAAGGTCCTTCTTCAAAGACTGGCCCTTCCTGATCACATGACCAAAGTATGTGAGTTGAAATCTGGCCAACTTCATGGTGGAAAGAAGTCTCTAAACAGACTCCCTGTCCTCATTTGGAGTTATAGCCTCCGTAACCCTAGGGGAACTCTTTGACTTACAGAATCACCATGAGTTAGAATTGACACAGTGGCGCCAAAAGCGAAGAAGGAAGCCCCTACCCCTCCCAAAACTGAAGCCAAAGCAAAGGCATTAAAGGCCAAGAAGGCGTCCTGAAGGGCATCCACAGAAAAAAAAATCCACACGTCACCCACCTTCTGGTGGCCTAAGACGCTGAGACTCCGAAGGCAGCCCAGATACCCCTGGAAGAGCACCCCCAGGAGAAACAAGCTTGACCACTATGCCATCATCAAATTTCCCCTGACCACTGAGTCAGCCATGAAGAAGATAGAAGATAACAACACACTTGTTGTGTTCACTGTGGATGTCAAGGCCAACAAGCAACAAATTAAACACTCAGTAAAGAAGCTCTATGACATTGATGTGGCCAAGGTCAACACTTTGATTAGGCCTGTTGGAGGGAAGAAGGCCTGTGTGCAACTTGCTCCTGACTATGATGCTTTGATGTTGCCAACAAAATTGGGATCATCTAAACTGAGTCCAGCTGGCTAATTCTAAATACAAATTTTTCTCACCATAAAAAAAGAAAAGAATTGGTATAATTATGAGTCAAAATTATGGCATGATGACTTCTGGCTATCTTTATACCAACCTGTGAGATGAGCCATTTTATTGTACCCATTTTACAGATGGGGAAAAGCAGAGGCCCAGAAATGGAAAGTTATCCTGAATTTTCGTAGTGAGGAGCTGAGATTTGATCTGAAGCCTCTTGAGTTTCCAGAGCCCAATTACTTAACGCCCTCCTCGCAAGATAACAGTGAATGAAGACATGGCCAGTGAAGGAGGGGTTTGTGGGCCTGAAGGAACAGCAGGGGCAAAGATTCTGAGGCTGGAAGACACGGCCTTTTTTGAGAACAGAAAGAATGGCGGACAGGAGCAAGGGATTAGAATTAAAAAAAATGCTGCTTGGGGAAATGTTGGTTATAGTGGTGGTTGACTCTTGCACCCAGAGCAGATAGAACAGTCACGCAGGCAAGGGGGTCCAGGGACGTGTCCCCACGCGTGTCCTGACGTTGTCCTTCCTGTGCCCCTAGGTGGTCCACACCGGTGAGAAGCCCTACTGCTGCCTGGTATGTGAGCTGCGCTTCTCCTCCCGCTCCAGCCTGGGTCGTC